GATTTCTGAAGGTATTCTGGTAACTGAAAATACTGGTGGGCTCTTCACAGGGATTTCCAAAAGCACATGGTCATGAAATGTGCTTAACTTCGTGTAAAATAAAGCTGTACTTAATTTATATCGAGGCTTTTCAGAAACTGCCTTGGACCATGTAACTGTTTATCTATAGATGCACATGTACATGTGCTTAAGGACTTTGCTGAACCAAACCAGCATGAGCAGGAAAGTCTGTGGCTATCTACAATCATTTTGGTCCCCAGCAGAATCCATACAATATGATGATCTATTTCTTCTTTTCCTACATCCCTGTTAAATAAGATGTCTGAGGAGACCTGAGGTCAGGGAAAGATTTTACAATCTCTTTTGGGCAGTTACTGTTCTTCTTTCCTCTCCTTTTCTGTTTTATAGCCCTCTATCTGCAACAGATCCAAAAGGCCTCATTTGAAGAAAGTTAGGAAAAACAGAGATGGACTTCGATAATGTAACTAATTACAGAAACCCAGAAAGTTTACTTTTGTATATAACAATTGCAACTATTTCTTGGCATAACCTCTCTTCTGGAGAGTCTTGTTTTTATAAGGAACTGGCAGATGTGGCTGCTGCTGTGGTGTATTTGAGCCATTAGAGTAGCTCACATCAGAGTGCAAAGATTAAATGTTTCTAAACTGAAGCTACAATCAAACAGTTCATAGCATCAGCTGTGAGGAAGGTGCTCTTTGTGTCCAGTAAGTCTTGTCCCCTAAATAAGCTAAAATGTACCACTGGGGATGTAACAGAAGATTTTCATTAAAGTGTAGGTCCCAAAGTGCAGTTGAACCAAGCTAAAATTCGTTGTGCTGCTTTGTTTATTCCTTAGCACCTGTAGATATGCTGAATGTGCAGTTCGTCCTTTTGGTACTGTAATACAGAATAATTGGAAAACTGGACAATAAAGATCTTCAGTGTGGGATTTAGATGGTCTGTCTTTACCTGCTGCGAACCACTTAGTTCAAACAAGCTGTTTAGGCTCCCTGAGTATCCAGTGGATCCCTTCTTTCATTATCAGATGATCAGCTAAAAACTGTGGGATAAATTGCTCTCCAGTGTTGCCTGACTTCTCAGCTGAGGGAGCCTAGGCACCAAGCTTCAAATAAACCCCACCCCAGATGTGCGGTTGTTGGTTTTGGCCCTGTTCTGATCAGCCTCAAGTAATTTTCTGTATTTCTAGTAAATAGAGAGTTACTTGGAACATGCAAGAAGAGCAATGAACACTCAAGACAAATAAAGCCGATACAAAGACAAGGGAAATCCTCACCTGCTCAGTCATTTTTCATCATAAACACTGGGGTGGTGAAGTTAGAAGCAAAATGAGTGGAGCTGGCAGGGGTTGAGAAGTCAGGACTAAGTCTTTGTGCATATCCTTGCCCAGCCAGGGAGTGACTGTGAAGCTACTGAGTAGTTTTTAGGCCGTGCACCTTGCAGACGCCCTTGTGAAAAGGTTAATCTTGACTAAGTTTGACATGATGGAAAAGAAAAACAGTCAAGACAAAAGTCCATGTTGCAGGTTGGAGAATTATTTTTAAAAATGGGTCATTTCTAATTGTTGTTTTCCGTTCACAGCTGCTTGCAGAGGACTGGCCCTTTGGTGTTGAAATGTGCAAATTAGTACCCTTCATTCAAAAGGCATCAGTGGGCATCACAGTGCTGAGTTTGTGTGCCCTCAGTATAGATAGGTAAGACCCTTTTTTCATCAAACTAATTTCTTTTCAATATTTCAATTCAGCTTTGGCTCAAATTCACCTTTCTACTCAGCTGATATAATAATACTAAGATGATGATTTAAGCCAGTTAAACCGGGTGGGGGGGTTTTTAAGTTTTTAATTTGTGATTGTATGCTGTTGCTTCAGGTACCGAGCAGTTGCTTCATGGAGTCGCATTAAAGGAATTGGAGTGCCAAAGTGGACTGCTGTTGAAATTGTGCTGATCTGGGTTATATCAGTGATATTGGCTGTTCCAGAAGCTATTGCATTTGACATGATTACAATGGAGTACAGAGGAAAGGATCTTAGAATCTGCCTGCTTCACCCCACACAGAAAACATCCTTTATGATGGTAAGACACTGACGTTTAGAAAATCACAGCTCTCTGGAACAGTTCCTCGCATCTTCTCAGTGTTGTGTGGATTGTAATGTACACAAGTATGTGAAATGTAGGTGAATATAATGTTCAAATGAACTGCTGACAAATTTATGAAGTGTATCAGTTAAAAGAAGAGCATCCAGAAACTTTTGTATTTTTGTGGGCTTTGGGCATGTTACTGTCTTGTCCTGTTTTCTCATCTGTAATGTACACCTTATAGAGATGCTTTTCAGGACAGACATACCAATTAGTTATAGCGTATGTTCCAAAATGCTCAACATTAATCTCCTAACAATGGTTTTGCTTTTGTTTTCCTTCTAGTTTTACAAGCAAGCTAAAGACTGGTGGCTGTTTAGCTTTTACTTCTGTTTGCCATTGGCTATCACAGCATTTTTCTATACTCTCATGACCTGTGAGATGTTACGAAAGAAAAGTGGGATGCAGATTGCATTAAATGACCACTTAAAACAGGTAAAAATTTATGCCTGACAACTCTGCTGACTGTAGAGAGCATGACAAAAATACTTTTGCTGACTTTACTGCCGCATCATTATTCTGTTCTTGTATGACGACTTCAAGATTACTAGTAAGGAGAAGTTTCCTAGCAGTGGTGCTGCTGCTGAATTCATATATATATAAATGTATATATAACAGAGCCCTCAGAAACATAAGATTTGAACTGACAATCACAAAACCGTTTTTTTCTTGTTTGGTGATAATGAGAGCTGGATATTTTGTAGTGAAACCTGAAGTCATGCCATAATCTAGAAGCTGGTGCTATAAAATTGTTAATTATTTTGAAGCAATTCCGTGCTGAACTATACCGAGGTTAGCAGTATATGTTAGCAGAACAAAATGCATTCCAAAATACATTCCAAGTTAGTAGTGCACCAGACACAAACATCATACGTCACTAGAACTAAAGTACGTTTGTACTATAATGTGTATTTGTGCTCCTTTCCTCTCACCTTGTTAAAGCTGTAATTGAAATCTCTTGGGGCATTTAAAATAAGACCTGAGATCAAAGCACAAGAAAATGCAATTAGAAACAAGCTGGTATTTGAAAGTGATTGAGGAGACAAATATGTTCTTCATTTTAGTTTAAATGACTGTTTCCCTGTCCTTGATTTTTCATATTATTTCTCATACTTTTTAAAATCAGAGATACAAAGAATCAGTGCAAGACATCTAAAACAATAGAAAAGATTAAGTACATATTCCAAGAAAATAAGGTATTTGATGTTCTCCTAACTCTTATTTTGATAGGGTTTTTATTTTGTTTATTAAAGATTTGGATATCAGAAGACAGCAACAGTGGAGAGAGAGGCAGAAATTATAACTTTGTTCTGTCCAATTTTCTTTTTCAGAGACGTGAGGTAGCCAAAACTGTGTTCTGTCTAGTACTTGTTTTTGCCTTGTGTTGGCTCCCACTTCACTTAAGCAGAATATTGAAACTCACTATTTATGATCAGAAGGACCCCAACAGATGTGAACTTTTAAGGTGAGACTGCAAAAATAAAATGCCTGTGCACTGCTGGCCTTCTTCATAAGCATGGATTTCCTAATGAACTAGCTTACTTGATGTGTCTGAAGTTCCCCCTGCTTGTTCATCCAGGACGCTCTGGTTTCACTCCAGTAGCAGAGTCAGAAAATTATGAGGAATCCCCCTGTTTGCCCTGTCTTCCTCCTGATCCCTTTTGGGACCATCTTACTGTTTTGTGTCATTACAAGGGCGGAGCACCAATTTCTGTCCCCGTTTTTCCCTTTCAACAGGATAGCTAGGATTAAATCTGTGAAGAAAACCTCGTGAATGTTTCCTCCCACAACTTAAGGTGGTTGAATCTTCTGAAGTTACTTTAATGAGAATAGTCTACTGATTCAAACTTTATTATTGAGGACAATTGTTACCTCCATGAGTTAATCCTGTTGATATAAACCCCTTTACTATTACGTTTAATAGTTAGTCTTGGTTGAGTGAAGCAGAGTCCAGTTTTCATAGCTGTAAACCTCTATTAAGCCTTTTCAAAGGAAATGAGGAGTGTCTCACTTACTTTAATTTCCACACAGCTTTTTTCTTGTGATGGACTACATTGGTATTAACATGGCTTCACTGAATTCCTGCATCAATCCGATAGCTCTGTATTTGGTGAGCAAAAGATTCCAAAACTGCTTTAAGGTAAGAGGCTGCTGGGAACTGCTCCTCTGGTTAAAAGATGTAAAATTCCTTCCTTAACATGCACAAAGTGTTTTAAATGATCATTAAGTTTTACTTTAAATTTCATCTGGGTTATGGTAGGTGTTCTCTCCCTCCCCTGCTGAAGTGACATAGAAAGGAATTAAGGATTCATAGGGACAAAAAGAGAAAGCAAAAGAGAGGAGTGTACAATAAACCCTCTTGGCACCATGCTAATCAGGGCTACATCACTTCCTGACTGAAGCTGGCACCCAGCCATTTCGAGAGTACTGACAAAGCAGACTCGGACCACGCTGCAGAGATTCACGTAGCCATATCCTCTGCAACCCAACGGGGAGGGCACTGACCCCAGGTTCACCCCATCCTGGCCAAGCGCTTAAAGCAGCAGGCAGTTAGGTAAGGCAGAGGGTGCAAGTACCCACTCATCCGTTTCCAGTGCCAACATTTTATGAGACAGACCTGTTCGTGGTTTTGCCTTGGTTTGAGTGAATAGTCCTGGGGACTAATTGTGCACGCAGGATTTGAGGCTCTGGATTGCACATAGATTGCAGCCCCTCCCTCAGTCCTTCATGTCTGCTTGGAGAAATGTCCAGATTTGGTCCTTAGAGCTTTTTTTTGTGGCCCCTTACTGTCTTCAGACACTGTATTGGGGTTCTTACATAGTCTACCTCAAATTCTTAGACTTTTCTTTAGTTGCCAAGTGTTTAACCATTGGCCACTGCTAGGTTTGTTCCCTGATTGTGTAAACTCCCTACTGGATATGTCTTTCCATCAGAAGCCAGTCAGCTCTACATCTAGTATTGCTGGGATATTTCCCTCATCATGTGACAGCACACGTTGGAGATACTTTAGTGTCTGTCTCATCTTCCCAATTTTCATTAGCAGCTCCCTGAAAGAGTCACTGGAGCTGAGAGCACCTAAGAGACCTGTAGCATCCTGAGTGTGGTAACGAGCAGGTGTGCAGGATCCCAGATGGACTTCCAGCACCCAAAGGCCAGTCAGTAGCATCAGCAAAAGGTCTGCAGTACATCTAGTAAATGATTGAACTGTATGTAGGCTTTCACCATTCTTCTACTTAGTTCTTTTATTTTCCCCCTCAAAAAAATCAATTAAATAGCAGCAACTTGCCTAGAAAGTATAGATTACTGTGCGTACATTTTTTTCCAAGAAAGATTGTCAGACAAAGGACAACAGGGAGTCTAATTTTATTTTCAGATGCATTTAGAATTACAGACCAGACTTGAAGTGGTATGTGTGTGGCCATAATTATATGTAACTCAGTATAATTCTTTCTGCCCTCCAGTGCTCAGGTTGGTTGCTCATGGGGCATCCCAGAAGTTAGTGGCTGTTTGAGCAATGCAGAGCTTAACCTTGTTACTTTGCTTACGCTGTAATGCCAAAATGGCAGTTTGCAAACTTGACATTTCTTACTGTACTGCTGAAGAAGGACAGCGTTTCAGTGCATTTTGCCACATGTGCAAAACAAAATGATGTAAAATGTTTATTCCTTTTATTTTAACAGTCATGCTTGTGTTGCTGGTGCCAATCCAAAGACCTGTTGTCCCTGGAGGAAAGGCAGTCCTGTTTAAAGTTCAAAGCTAATGATCATGGATATGATAATTTCCGCTCCAGTAACAAGTACAGCTCTTCATAAAACAAGCATAAAAGGTATATTCTTTTACATTAATGCTGGTGCCTTTTTAAGTAGAAGTGGCAATTGCTTTTAACAAGATGGTTGACACTTGGAAAAATCTAGTTTTGTGTTTGCACAAAAAAAGAAGATAAAAAAAAGAATAATTGCCCCAAAACTGTGTCATATTCAAAATCACAGACATTTTTAAAATCGTCATTTATGGAGCATGAAGAAAATCTTTGAAAGAACAAGTCATTGTTAGCACTTGAATACTTCTGAATCAGCACTTCCAAATGATCCTCACTTCCTGTACATTAACGATCATTTGTATTTGCTATAACAGTTGGAGGAACTGAAGTCACAGTAATTACTAAGCAGTATAATATAACATTAATTGGATCAAAGCCATTATTATATATAACTCAATATATTATCTTTTATTAAGCAGATTAACCACCATCACTATTGTGTTTTTTTTTAAATAAAACATGAAATACTTTGTAATAGAAGTTTAAATGTAAAATGTAGCATTTTTACCAGGGGTGTTATAGAGGTAGCTAATGAAAATACTAAAGGATGCAGTCAAGTCGAAAGTGCATTTCACTCTGATGATTGTTTTTACCTATTATTGTTAGAAGGAAACTCCCAAGGCCTCTATAAATACCATTTTGCAATCACTTTGTGTGTTCAGAGCATTTGGCAGCCCTTTGGGTACGGTCCATTTCACTGCTTCCATGTTATTTTTGTTTAATGATAGCAGAGGAGAGAAAACCACACCTAAAGCAAAAATTAATTCTACTGGAAACTTAGAAATGATGGCTAGTATTGGAAACCAGCTATTTTTAACTGCAAACAAATTGATTGTATCCCATATAAACAGTGGGCATTCAGAAGCCTGACGGTTCTTTACTCGAGATACTTTTATGACAATTCACAACTATTTTTGCAATCCAGACACTGTCTTGCGACAAAATCCTTTAGAAATAGCAGGTGGAAAAAATGTAACCAAGGAAAACAGGGAGAATTTGAACTTCTCTTTTAATTTAGATTTAAATCTTCATAAAAGAAATAATTCACGAACTGTACTTCTAGAGAGCAGTACCATGTAGCACACTTGTCTTCATACTGTTTTAAAACATGTTCTACTTCTGTAGTTCTGTATTTATGGGCTTAAGAAGATGTGTGATTAGTTTCTGCTTCTGTAAATAGTTTAGTGAAGTGTAATTAATTATAAAGTATTAAAATATGGGCAGGACCCTGTGAGAAAACAGAAAGATAAAAGATGCCTGTAGTAAACATGATGTGTGTTGCCAGGAGCAATATACGTTTTGTACATACATGACAGGTCATTCTTTGGCTTTTCGTTTCCTATTGATTTGTTACAGATGTCCCCAAAGACTTGTTAACATATTTCGTGCACTAAGGCATGAGTTTTTCAAGTAAAAATGTCACATAACATGCTTTTATAGAAGACATGTTTTCAATAGGCATGTTATTTTATTATAATAAAGATATTTATCAAAACTCAGGAATTTTTTTTTTTAATTTGCAAATTTCCCGTGTAAGGCCCTTTTTTCCCAGTCTTTATTAACTTCGGATTTTTTTAATAAAGTGCCTTAAATATGCTCAGGATGACAACAGTTTTCATTAAAATGTTCAGCTGATGTTACCTTAGATGGGTTTCATCTCATCTGACTTTAGGTAGCTACAGCTACCTTGCAGACAGCTAAAAGCAGGGGAGGTGAACCCCATTTCTGGTGTTGCCCCATCAAAAGCTTGTGTAAGTGTATGCTTGTATAATCAAGCTGAGGACCTATGCACATGCATTTGAGCATGGGCACATGTGTGTTTGAGTGTCTGAGGATGTGTGCAAGTGTGTATGTTGTCTACCATTAGGTTGCTGTTACTGTCTTTCTGCAGCACATGCACGCAACTGCTAGAATGCTGAACTTTTATAAATATAAATCTATTTAAAGTTTTGTTCTTTGCATTTTTACTTTAACTTCCGTGGTGACTTTCTCATGGTAAGCCATGAATATCGCTTCACTTCACCCTGCCTGCATCTATTTCTGTGAAATGCATTTCATCTGTTAAGGGTGGATAATCAGTTAAATCCTAAGTTTGATACTGATCAGTGTTACTTTCATCAAGATATATCATCACAATATTGTACATGTATATTATTGTTATTTTTATTTAAAATATAGCTGTTGTATTGGCAAATGTGTAACATATTTTTCATTTTTTTCCTGGACTAATTCTTTGTTGAGTTCTGCTAGGGCAAGACATTTAGGTTTTGCAAATAAAGACCGTATATACCGCCCACGTTTTGGAGTTAATATATATACGCATTAGTACACTTCTTATCTTTTTTGCAGTATTTTTCAAGCAGTATTTTTACTGAAGCTCTCACTTCCTGTAATAAAAATTTTTAAAACTTCTGTTCTCATACACGTAAAAGAATACACAGGAAAGCTCCAGTGCATCTGTGTTCTAGCTAAGATTAAATCTCTTAGTACTGAAGACAGGCATTTTCTAAACTCCTCGGTACAGGTCTATTCCTGCATCCACTGAAATCAATGAAAGTTTAACCATTCAATTCAGTTGGAGCAGAATTAGGGCACAGCAACAACTCTAAAAAACCTGCTGACTTTTGCTACCTTGAATAAAAAAAGCTAAAAGCAAAATACTCTTTTTTTTTTTTTTTTTTTTTACAAAGGAGTTGTTTAGAAAACTTAGGAAAAGAGGGTAAAGTCCGCTCATGGGGTAAAACAGCCAGTCTAAGGCTCTCTAAGCCTCAAACAGGGTGCCAGGTAGCAGAACTGCAGAAAGTCACATGCATCTTTATAGGAGTCCAATGTGCTTGCCCAGAGTGGTGTGATGGAGTAAGAGTCATCTGTCCCAATGGCCTGAAGAGCTGACGCAGAATGGCTTGTGATGAAAAAAATAAACTTGTAAGAAGCTACATCACATCTCTGTGTTTTGGCCTTTAGGTAGTAGCTAGATTTTACTTCCCCAGCTGCTCTGAATTCTGCCTGCACACAACTCACTCGGAGTTAAGAGAGGGCATTTCAGACTGGGTGGACTGAACTGATACACTGGTACTACACCTCAGAGAATCAAATGCACAATTTGAGGTTATGGAGCATGTGCTGTGAGCTGTGGAATTTCACTGTCCAGAACAGCTCTTAACACACAGTTGTCTTAGCAAGAAAATACTGTATGTATTGAAATAATATTAAAAGGATTTTTTTAGTTGTTCTGTATAACTGTGTAAAATAATTCTATATTTCATTTTCTGCGGTCACTTAAAATCGCAACTTATGTGGTTCAGACAGTGTAAACATACTAAATTACCAATAAAATACTTGTAATTTTGATTCATTACAGAAAGATGGCTGACTTTTTTTCTTCTAGGGGGTCCCACTTAATTGTTAGTGACAGTGATGTAAAAAAGAAATAAGCATTTCAGAACTAAAAATCAAAGTTTTTGAGTGGGACAGTTTTATATAGCTGAAAACTGGAGAGAGTTCGGACTTGCATATGCATTGCAAAACTGTCTGATGTTTGTTGGAACAATCAGTCATGCCTATCTTTGCTCTGTTTGTTTTTGCTTAAAACGTCAGTTGCAATCTCTTCTCTACACACCCATATATAGTCACAAATCCTCCTGTGTTAGGAACATCACAAATAAAAGGCATGAAACTTTTAGTTGATTAATTTAGAAGTGCATGCACTCGATGCTGGAAACATCGATGCTCATGAAAACCATCACCCCTTTGTACACTGACAGTGTAATTTTGTGCATATTTCAGTTTACCTTTTTTAAAAGCAGTGGAAAACACTGTCAGACTAAATATGCTGTAGCTGGTCAAACATAAAACTTTATATGCTTGCAGTATCTGTACATCCCAAAATGTGTTTACTGCTACTTCTATTTTATTCCAGATAGTTAGGTTTCCTTCTGCTTAGTTGGTGGCCTGCTGCATCCATATAGATTTGTCTTTTTTCGTGGTCCTAGGACCTTTAGCACTTGGTTTCACGTTTCCAATGCCTGCAACAGAAGCACCTGTAGAGACCAGATTCCTTGTGAGTAAATATTCTACTCAATATCTCTCATGGCCTCTTAACTTCCTTTCCCTTCATCTTTGGTCCTCAGTAATGCTATGGTCTGAAGTCTTCACTAACAGCTCATTACAAAGAAGCATTTTTTGCATATTTCTTTTGAGATCCTACAGCTTTCTCCAGGTAGATCATAGTTTTCACAGCCCAGCTAACTTACTCCCTTGCCATAATTCACTTTTCTAACTATTGGTGTCATCCACAGTTTTATCTACAGTAGTCTTGGCTCTTTCATTTAGGGGATTAACTGCAGCTTGTCAGTTTTCCAAACATACTAGAATTTACACAGCAACATGGATATACATGTAGCTTATATTCTTCAAACACTGACTCATTCTAACCACTCTTAGAAGGGTAGATTTGGCACTCGGGTGTTGTTGGAGCAAGGTGATCCAACTGGCAACCTGTAGCTGGATCTGGTCTATAGAGGGGTTCACTTTCTACTGCACCTTCCTGCAGCCTGCTGCTCAGACCATCATGTTCTTGTAGTCTGCTCAAGAAGGCCCAAGAGTTCTCAATGTACATGCTGTGCACTTCTGTTCAAATTTCTGATCCAAGTTGCTGAACGAGTGTCCACATCAGATCAAAGGAGACAAAAGGACTCAAAATTAGTCTTCTGTGTTCTGCTGGTCGTCTTTCTTCTCAGTCAGCAGTGCTAAGATTACCATATTACATAGCAACAGTAGTCACGTGGTTTATTGGCATGCAATTGCTAACTTAAAAGTGCTACCATGGAATAAAACCAGGGCATCTATTTGGTCTTGTCAGTCTTTCTAAGTACTCTCATTAACTGTGAAGGAGGTCTCAAAGCTCACCCTCACCAGTGAAAAGGCACACAGCCCTGTAATGGGTTGTGTGGCAAGGTTTCGGCAGCGGGGGAGCTGCAGGAGTGGGTTCTGTGAGAAGCTGCTAGAAGCTTCCCCTATGTCCGACAGAGCCAGTGCCATCTGGCTCCAAGACAGACCAAATACTGATCAAGGCTGAGCCAATCAGTGACAGTGGTAGCACCTCTGGGATAGTGTATTTAAGAAAGGGAAAAAAGTTGCTGCACAGCAGCAATTGGAGCAAGACACAGGAGTGAGAAGGAGGGGAGGAGGTCCTCCAGGCACCAGAGTAGAAATTCCCCTGCAACCTGTGGTGAAGACCATGGTGAAGCAGGCTGTCCCCCTGAGCCCGTGGAGGTCCACAATGGAGTAGATGTCTGCCTGCACACTGTGGAGGACCCCATGCCAGATGCCCAAAGGAGGCTGTGACCCCATGGGAAGCCCATGCTGGAACAGTCTGTTCCTGAGGGACTGCACCCTGTGGAAGGGGCCTACGCTAAAGCAGTTTGTGGAGAACTGCAGCCCGTGGGAAGGACTCACGTTGCAGAAGTTCGTGGAGGCCTGTCTTCCATGGGAGAGACCCCGCATTGGACCAGAGGAAGACTGTGAGGAGGAAGGAGCGTCAGAGACAACATGTCATGAATTG